TGCTTTACAACAGAACAGAGCACAGTCAAGGCTTCTCTATTTGTTAATTTTAATGAATCGTAAATAATATAGTCTTAATCGAGAAGGTTTTAGACATATAAAGGATTAAGAAATTACGAAGTTGCTATAAAAGCCCCAAACTTCAAACTGTTGTGAGAAAATGAGGCAACTTGAATTACTGTTCCCCGTTGGAATCGTTATAATGATAATCCACCTTGCCAGAAATTCACTGCTTGAATTATTTTGTCAGCCGAATTCCGTAGATTCACACCGTCTAACCAAAGATTTAGCTTCTGCTAAAGTAAGTGAAGCAGTAGCATCATTAATTAGATTCCCTTGTTATGAGACAAACAAACTTTAAAAAAAAAACTCACCTTCCGCATTGAATGTAAACATCCGAAGTGATTGTATCGGCAGTAGTATTTCTTATTAACAATTTTTAATCTTCGACGGCCTAGTAGTAAACATCCACGGGTCTCGCAAAAAGCGTACAATTGTCATAGAAAGCGAAGAGGAAGTCTTAAATATTCTTCACAGTTCATCCATCGCATTTGTATATATTTTCTCTCATTAAAAGGCAGGACACGTGTAAACAAGTTTGTAGCACTTGCTTGCACTCATCGACGCGTGGCTGTTTGTTTTTGAGGATCTCAATGAAAGTGCTTCTTTCAAATTGTGATACATAAATTTCGAAACACTTTTCAAGACTGCAGTAACATTTGTCGGAAAGTAAATTTATCCTCTTTACGGAATAAGCATTAATTAGTCCGATGACCTGACTTGAGCAGTTTGATCCGGATTTTGAAAAGATTAATGAATAATTTTAAAAGCACACGCACCAGCGGATGTGACGAAGCAACTTTCAGCTGGATTAACTTGATTTTATTTTAATCATTTGATACTGTGATAAGCTATACCGCTTAGAAGAATAGGAATATTTTGTAACTTCCTCACTCTCGGAAAACACGTAATTATTGTTAACATAATTGAGCATCATTGCATGTTGGCCCACGGTTAACGATTAAAATCCTAAATTGCAAAATGAAGATGCTGCCCTTTTGAAAAATTCAGTATACCGTGTATAAGTTAAAAAGCAATGCTGTAAAGCAGTCGGGATTACAGGAGTCTCACTCGCAGCGGTTTTTTGGATGTCACGCAACGTTCCCCCAAAACAACGTTGCGTGACATCCAAAAAAACCGCTGCGAGTGAGACTCCTTGTAATCCCGACTGCTTTACAGCTTGGCCGGAGCATTTTGATAATTTAACGATAATTTTTAGGGTACAGTAGCAATTGGTGACCATTTGCAAGTGTAAACTAGAAATTGAAATGTTAAATTACTGTGACAACTTCGTCAAAAAGAATTCTCAGCAGAAAAATGCTTATTCATATGGATATATATTGCGGGTGTAGGGCTCAGAACAAGACAGTCCATTATTTTAAAGGGGAGTAAGTCTTTACCGAAACCGCGGTGCAGCGTGGGTGGGATAGTATAACAGGGTAATTTGGTATTATCGACGAGTTGATAACATAAATTGACTACTGTAAAGAGTTCCAAAGCTGACGTTTCGTTAGCCCTTCGTCAGAGCGAATGACGAAGGGCTCACGCTCGAAACGTCAGCTTTGAAACTCTTTACGGTGGCCAATTTACGTTGTCAACTCGTTGGTAATACCAAATTACCCTGTCCATTATCTTCTTTGTTTGGCAAGACATGCAATCTCTAGCTCTGTCCACAATTTTGTTTCCCATATGAGTGTTGCCATATACAGATGATCTCTCCAACGACATTTCATATTAAATGGAATATGTCTTGGAAACGATATATTAGAACTAACTTGTATGCTTTAAGGTCATTGTTGATGTTTTTATCACCTGATCTATTGGGTACTTCAAAGTAAGATATTTCTTCACTTCATTTATTTCTTTTCAGGTTAATTTATTCCTCACGTACTCAGCTTTTCTTTTTCTTATTAAAATTGGATTGACAAGTTGATCGGCGGTCTTACAGATCCTTTTTAAAAATGGATTTCAGTTCAGATACCTCCCTCGGACTGTAATTGAAGTAGGAATAAAAGGTTAAAAACTTCGGCATTCTTGAATAAAAACAGGAAATATCTCCTAATGTAATGCTGCTTTTCAAAGCGAGTTGGGCTCCCGAAGTGGTTATTAAAAGTTTTTTTCATCTAAAAACCACTCACTGAGAGATATTTTTTCCGCATTGAAATCTCCCTCAGCCGGCGAAAAGGCGGTGCGATTCAAGTTATTCGCTTTTAAAACATAATTTAAACAGAAACTTCGTCTTTGTTTTTGTTTCTATAAAAACAAATTAACCGGCTGTGACAGATTGACAAGCCACTAGCACATGTTAGTCTAAGAATAGAGGATACCTGCAGCTTGTTGCATAATGGTGAATTTCAACAAAGAAGTTCTGCTAATTGCTACTCGGCTTTTGAATCCGCGGATAGCAATTAACTTGAAGATTCTGCAGTTAAGTGAAATCATAAAATTTAATGAGGCTCACATACAATCCATTCAGAAACATATTGAATACACCTGATCGTTTTTAAAATCATCAACTCCCGGAAGAGCCCCAGTTCGCTGCTGTTCCTCTGTATGTCCAAGATCTTTTCTTCAATCGCAGTTAACAGGTTAGCGGTGAGCACACTTGTTAAATATTTATCATGTAAAGTTTTGAGTGTTATTTTAATCTTTGTCAGATTTCGTTTGAACAGAGAAGTAGTTCATTTTGACGGAGTAACGCGTTAAATTTGAGACAGTTTTTTATTACCTCATGTTTGCGGTTTTCACCCGTCATTCAACCTGACATTAGTAGCTCGGTCAAACGTTAAAATCTTCCATAGATGATATGTAAAATTCGTCATTAAGGAGTTTCTACGTACATTTGTGAGACTTTTCCGAGATTATCAGAACTTATAGATAGGGAAGAAATAGAGCAAGGTTGTTAAATCTAAACAGTTTTCTCGGCCATCTGTTTGACCTAATGATTTCTTGGTCTGCTTCAAGTTGCAAAGGAACATGAAAAATCTCTTGTAATAGTGGCGAAACTGGCTTCGAGTCTTCAAAACCATCTAGATTTGTCTCTTCGTCTCTGAGTGAAGCAGTAAATGTTTCTATCAATTTCCATCCCAAATTTTAGAGGTCAATATATTAATATTTTCCTTCTTGTCTTGATTTTCTATTTCGGTCGTCGGTTGGATATTTTCCAGAGGCCAATTTTGTTTCGCTAGGATCAATTTGCGTAACCGACACATTGAGAACAAACTAAATCGTCGAACAGGTGATGCGATTTTGTCACCTCAGTTTCAATTCCTACAAAGCATTGATATAAATCATGATAATATTTGTACTAGTCTTTTGCTGCAAAAAAAC